AGAAGCGGAACCAAGCAACGAAATCACACCTTCAAGTCAAATACACTACAGCTCTTTGAAATAAAGTGTATGAACAACATGCTCCCAGTATTTGAGAAACTTAATCAAAGAAGGCCCGAAACATACAAGACAGACAAATGTGTCATATTTAAAAAAAAAAAAAAAGAAAATGTAGAACACTTGGTGAGCTGCGAGCTATCTCTGAATTTACTCCACACACTAGAGGAGCAAATAGTAGAAGCAACCTTGCATGAGTTAAAAGAAGTTGAAAACTCAGAGGAAATTAAAGAAGAAGTCCTAACAATGTTAGGAAAAGGATCACAAGTAGATGAAATGCGCAGAAGAAAAAGATGGATTAGAGGCTTAATTACAAAAGAAGACTTTGATAAGTTAAGATTTCTTTTCAACTCGAACAACCAAATGAAGCGATTTCTAGAAAGACTCTGGAAAAATTGGATAAAGGAAGTCTATGAAAAAATTTGGGTTCCAAGATGCAAATTAGTCCAAGAATGGGAGAAGGGAAATGGAATTGTGCCAAAAGATAAAAGAAGATTCTATGAAAAAACAAGAAAGAAGAAAAAGAAGAAGAAGAAACCACTAGATGGACATACTATTAAAAAGAAAAAAGATGAGAATGAGAATAAAAGTTGGTTGTCAGTTCTAGTGATAACCAAGAAAGAAGTGATAAGTTGGATTCTAGAAGAGAAACATTTAGATTAGTGGAAAACTGATATATAGTCTTGACAGGTGATAAGAACCAGCTATTGACGTATTATCGAAGCCAATTGCAGAATAAGGACATTTTTTACTATAGCAGGTCGCATATAGGTACTTAATGAGCAACTGGGTGAGTCTCCACTTGTTATTTAGGTACTGGGAGAATAACTCCTCAGAAAATTTTAATAGTTTAGATAATTATTACAAAGCCTAATAAAGTGAAAGCAGGACTGCCGAATGTTTAAAAAAAAAAAAAAAAAATTTATTATTATTATATTATTTAAATATAAATTTAATATAAAGTGTCTTATATAATCTACTTGTATAATATGAAGTTGGCTCTATTAATTTTACTATCCCTAGATACTATCAAAAATTTTCACTACTTTTTTTTTAGGTTTTGCTAAGCTAGTTTTAGATCTTCAAGTCCTTTCTATTGGTTTTATATGATTCTGGAAGTCTTATAATAGGTTTGCATTGTCTAAGCCAATTTGCATTTCTTTATACAATATAAGTATTATATAAATGCTTCCAGAATCTTCTAGTGCATGTAAGCACTAGTGTGACCAGAGTTACAGATAATAAAACCTAACTTATTAATAAAGCTAGTGAGATTTAAACTTAGTACCTTTGTTATAAACTAACTTGGAAATGCAACAATTTTACTACTCTAAGGCACCACACCCTCAAAACAGATTTATTTAAACTATCTTAGAATCAAAATTAGTTTTAAAGCAAACCAAAATTTTTGTATTTTTTTAATTTTATTTAAATTTTTACATAGTTTGATTTTTTTAATACTATACTAAATTAAGTATATCAAAATTTTAGAAAAAAAGGTTTAAGATTAATTTGTACAAAATTTTTATTTATAAATATTGTTAAAATTATACAAAAGAATAATTCTAATATTCAAATATAGTTTGGCAAAATTTGAATAAATTTAGTTAAATAATTAATCTAAAATTAATTTTTTATTTGTACTAAATTAATATGCTAGCCAAACGAATACCCATTAGTATATAAATACCCCAACAAATCATGTAAGTCATATAAGCTATATGACATCATCGTCCAACACTGCTGCACTGCTGATGGGAATTTTACAACTTATTTTGGCAGAATTAGTTATCGTTAGGGTTAGAATTAGATAGAATAAAAACTTTTAGCTTTTGGTTAGCATAATTTTGGCCAAAATTACAAATTCTCATCTGGAACAGTTCCGATTCTGAATCGGGACAATTCCAATCAATTATTTGATGTCAATAAATAACGAGGAATATATTTTAATTCGAAAAAAATCAGTTTTTCGAAGATAAAATGCTCTAAAATTCCAGGTCTTTATACAAACAAGTTCACATGCTTGAATTCAATTAGCCAAGTTAAATTGATATTAATTGATTATTAAATTCGTGCAACACGAGCGGCCAATCCCTATATGAGTAGTATCATTGATTATCGTATTTTTGGGGATTTTTTTTTTTAGGGGTGGTCAAGAAAAATAGTTTTTAGACTATATATTAAAAATTTTTCTTGCTCAATAAGGTTTTTTTACTTTAGCTAAATTAACGCTAACCCCAACACTAACCCCAACATTAACGGTTTGTATGCCTTTATTTGTATTATGCTAATCCGTTACGGCAAGAGATCGTATCCGATTAACCGATCAAGCAAATGTTTAGTTCCCGTGCGAGCATGGAGTTACTATATCAGTTTTCAGTTACACATAGAAAAATATTTACTAGAATTTATAATTACAACTGTATTACCATCATTTCTAGAATTTTATGAAGTTTGGTAGAATTACGAAATATATATTATGAAGTTTACAAAAGCCTTTGTCACAGTGTATTTAAACTCGTTTATTGTATTTGATATTAATATCCTATTTGAATATTTGAAATAGATGAATCAATTCAAAGAATAGAGTATTTGGTGCCAAGTATATGTCGCATCACATGGTATCCAATTCGAACCTTCAAAGTGGATTCGAATCGAATCTTCTTTATTGTAGAACTAAATATTTTAGGAAAAAGAGGTCCGAAAATGATCATGCGGTAACAGATAATTTGTATTTGCGTGCGTACGTCGAACGTCCGTAGGGAGCTTGGCATGTAAGACAATGTGGTACTTGCGTACGAACGCGCGTATGCACGTACGTACATGGTAAGTACGTACTGTACGTACGTACAGTACATACGTGTAAGAAATCAATCGCTCCTTATAGTAACAGTATAAACAAGCAGCATCAATATTTCCTAAATTATCGAGTTCAATAAAGTATAACTTCATTGATGCTAATAATTTAATTTGATTTTCAAATGCTACCTGTTTGTACCGTCGGAGATTGTAACGCTGAAAATTTACACCGCTCGGTGCTTTATTATGCGAAAATATGGTACGTACTTAGTCTATAAGAGCGGTTGATTTCTTGCACTGCACGTACGTGCAAATGTAACATTCATTATAAACATAGATCGCGTACGTACGTACGTACAGTACGCACCAGCTTATCTGTTATTGCGTTCTGTACGTACAGTACATATTAATATTTACCAAATTATTGCGTTTATGTACGTACAGTACATATGTACTAAATTATTGCGTGCTCTTACCAAAAAATCATATACCTTTTTTTTTTATAGAAATTTTCAATAACGATAAATGGTAAGATTATCCTGTAGACAGAGTACAAAATAAGGTTGTTTTACATTTAATGTTTGCTAACATTGGACGAGATTTTTATTAGGCCCCGTAATTTAATTAGAGTTTATATTAGTATAAATTTAAGGTTCCTCGAATGGTTATCGTTCCAAAAATTTATGGATCTACCGTTACACGATACCGATAACATTTGAAATTTTGAGATCTTGCTAACTATAATAACTCTCTTTCCTTTATTCCTGTAAAAACATACTCATAATGTCGATAGCATCACATCTCTTTCAATCCATATTTCATCCTTCTGAAATTACAGCTCTTGTCAAATATAAATTTTTTAAGCCTAAAGCTACAGTGAAAATTAGACTAGAACAAAAGCAAAAGATACGTTGTTATGAGTTTCTGGATAAAACTTCTCGTTCATTTGCTGCTGTAATTAAAGAACTGGATGATGATGTGAGAGATGCTGTAAGCATTCCTTTATTTTTCTAATTTTCTATCTTCATAAATTTGATCATAATTCTTTGTCCTTTATTATAATCTAGGTTTGTATTTTTTATCTCGTTCTTCGTGGTCTTGATACCATCGAAGACGATATGTCAATCTCTATTGAAAAAAAAGAACCTTTATTGAGATCTTTTCATGAAATTCTTTCTCAAAAAGGATGGACTTTTACTAAAAGTTAGTTTCTTAATTTTATTTTTAAACCTAATAATCCCTTGGTTGACAATTGTTTCTTTATGTCTTAGGTGGTCCCCTTGAAAAAGATCGTCAATTACTCGTTGAATTTGATATTGTGATCGATGAATTTTTGTCTTTGAGGAAGGAGTATGTAAAACTTTTTATTATCCTCATGTTACGCAAAACCATATGATAATTTATTTTTTCCTTTGTATAACTAGGTTTCGCGATATTATCGCTGATATAGCTAAAGAAATGGGAAATGGCATGGCCGATTACGCAAAAAATGCTGCGCACAATAAATATGGGGTTCAGAACAATGAAGAATATGATAAATATTGTTATTATGTTGCCGGTTTGGTTGGTGTTGGCCTTACCTGTTTATTTGCTGAAAGTGGTCTGGAAAATCCGGAACTCGTAAAAGATACTGAATTGTAAGTTTTACATTTATACTTTCTTTACATGTATTTATTATTTTATTAATAAATAAATGCTAATTAAATATTTATGGTCTTTAGGTCAATTCACATGGGTTTGTTTTTACAAAAAACAAACATAATTCGCGATTATTTAGAAGATCTTCTTGATGGACGTAAATTTTGGCCAAAAGAAATTTGGTCAAATTATGTCGAAGATTTTTCAGATCTTAAAGAGTCTGGTTATGAAACTGAGGCTCTTAATTGTCTTTCAGCCATCATTCTTAATGCTCTTCATCATGCTCCAGAATGTTTAAATTATTTGAATAAACTTCACAATAGATCTGTTTTTAGTTTTTGTGCCATTCCACAGGTGATGGCAATTGCAACTTTGGCTTTAATGTTTAGAAATTATGACACATTCCAAAAAGTTGTCAAAATTAGAAGGGGAGAATCTACTAAGGTAACTTTCTGAAAAAAACCTCTTGTTTTAGTAGAACTGCTGAACATTAATATTTTTTTTTCTGGAATATAGTTATTACTAAAGTGCACAAATATTCATGAAGTTGCAAATATCTTTCGTGAGTATTCTAGAGTAATCATCCGTAAAAATGATCCTAAAGACCCTAATTTTATGAAGATTAGTGTGGCTTGTGGGAAGGTAATAAATATATTTAACGTTTTATTTAAATTCTTTAAAAAAATTTTATTTCTAAATTAATTATTATTCATTTTAATTAACAAAAAGATTGAAAAATGGTGTGCTGTCAATCTTCCAGTTACAGATATCTACCCATATTCTACAACTATTAAAGGAGACTTATTTAATCAAGAAACCGACATATTATTATTTATTGGGTTTGGTTTATTGGCACTCACAGCTTATCTATTGTATTATTATAATTGGGAACATTTTAGTTTTGATGAATTAAAAATATCGAATATTTTTGATGCTTAATATTTTAGATATTTTAGATATTATTTGAAGAGTAAGCTGTATGTATAATTTTTACTATTTTGTACTATTTTGTAAGGCAATGATTTATTGTATTGTTTACTTTCAATTAGTTTTTAATAATGTATTTAAATTAGTTGTCACATTATTATGTAATTTAAATCATTATATTTTACAAAACTATGTATAACATACTCATTTATGTCTTAGAAAAATTATGATTAAATTGTGATATTTTATCTAAATTATGATTTATACAATATTTATTTTGTTTCCTTGAATCTCCAGCTTCCGCTTTTTCCTCCAGTTTTTTCTAAAAGTTTTACATCCTCAATTACCATACCTTTACTTACAGATTTACACATATCAAACACTGTTAATGCTGCGATACTAACGGCAGTTAGTGCCTCCATTTCTGCACCAGTCTTACCATCACATTCTACTTTTGCTATAATCTCAACTGAATTATCTTGTTCTAACTTTAAATCAACTGAAACATGAGAAAGTAATAAATTATGGCATAAAGGAATTAAATGTCCTGTTTGTTTGGCGGCATTAATTCCAGCAATCTGTGAAACTGTAAATACGTCGCCTTTTTTCATAAGGTTTTCCTGTATCAGATCAAATGCTTCGCGACCAATTCGTACTTTTCCACTCGCTGTCGCGGTACGGGTGGTTGGGGCTTTAACAGATATGTTTACCATCGAAGCACATCCACTTGAAGGATCGATATGAGAGAGTGTGGGGGTGTCAGTAATTGATGTATTTTGTGATATTTGTGAACATTCTGATTTGTTTTTTGATGAGTAAACACGGGATTGAAAAGGATATGAAGGAAAACCGTAATTGAAGGGAATGAAAGTTTTGTCAAATTTGTAAAGGTAATGTGGGTAGTATATTGTGGGCTGAATGAGTGGCATAATGGAATACTTCTTTTTATACCAAGATACTTTCGTTGAATGTAACTGCTCGATGCTGTCCGTGTAATTGACCGAATCTACAATAATAAAAATCTATATTTCAGAATATTTTAGTATATTAAGTAGAATAAATATAGGTGTTTATAAGACAAAGAGGATAGAATAGCATACTTGAATAATGCCATTTATCGGCCAGAAGCCAAAATATTAAAAACCTATATACATTAAAAAATAGTTTAGTGGTTGACTAAATAAGAAGATAAGTAGATTCTTACTAGTACATTATATATATATAACACGCAACATCACTAACCTGCACCCAGTCAACCACATCATTTTCATCCACCAATGAGTATCATCGGCCTATTTTTTGTCTCGGCCAGAGTGGACATACCTGCGTGCTGTTTCTTTTTATTTTTTACAGCCGCTCCGATAATTTCTAATAGTTGCTGATCCGGTACGTTCTCTCGTAATAAGTCACGCAAGCTTACTTCAGCATTTCCAAATAAGCATACCTACAAAAAGTAACGCCACTTATTTGAATAAAATTAAATATAATAATTAGTTAAAAATATATATATATAACCTTTAAGTTGCCATCCGCAGTAATCCTTAGTCTGTTACAAGTCCCGCAAAAATGGTCCGTCATCGATGTAATAAACCCAAATTGACCAACATGACCCAATACTCGATAAGCCTGACATTGTTTAACATTAAAAATGAGTTTACTTTTCTAATTATGCAATAATATTGTGATAACTAACCTTTGAAGTATCATGCGCATCATCAAGCAGTTTCACAACTTCGTACTTATTTCGAATATTATCTAAAAGTTCGCTATATGGAATAAGTTTTTGCTTATTCCATTTGTTACCTTGTTATTATTATCAAAAAAAAATGTCAAAAAAAAAAAAAAAAATCTAACGATTTTTATAAATTGAACAATCAATACATACCATCAAATGGCATATATTCAATAAACCTTACATCTATAGCCTTCGTACGAGTCATTTCAATGAAGTCTAATACTTCCTGATCATTTACTCCTCGCACAACCACACAATTAAGTTTAAGGGGACGAAGACCAAGAGCAATACCCTGATCAATTGTTTCCATTACACGTTCAAATCCTATATTCATAATAGATAAATGTTTATATAAAAGATATCAAATATAACACGTTAATAGATAATAAATACCTTTTCTACGAGTAATTAATTCAAACTTTAATGGATCTAACGTATCTAAGCTAATGTTCAACAAATTCAACCCATTTTTGACCAATTCAGGTAGCTTTCGCTTTAACGCTATGCCATTAGAAGTTATGGCTAGTGTTTGCAAACCATACTGCTTTAGTTCTCCCAACTCACCTATAACAAAGAAACATTTAAATAATTTATATTAAACGAAATGAAGAAAGAATACACTGAACTTACCAACTAAATCAACCAAATCTTTTCTTATGGTTGGTTCCCCACCAGTCAATCTAATTTTATTAATTCCTTGAGAAACGAATAATTTCGCTAGATGTACAATTTCTTTTGTGGATAAAAGTTTGTGAGAAGGGGTCAAATCAACACCTTCTTCTGGCATACAATAGGTACCTAAATAATTGTTCATATATATTAAAAATTTTGATGGACTAAAATTTAAACAACTTTAGTCAAAATATACGTACATCTTAAATTACATTTTTCTGTCAGTGATATTCTTAAATAAGAATGTTGTCTTTCGAATTTATCTGTCAAAAAATTACTGAAAGGACGTTCTTTCTCGATCGCAGCGATCTTTTGCTATTAACGAAAGATTAATGTGTTTAATAAGATTATTTACAAGGCAAGCTAATATAAATCAAACATTAATCAAATATTTAGAATACCTGTATACGGTGTTTAGGAACTTTGTGTTTAGGAACTTTGTAAATGGTAGACGCTTGTGCTTGATATGAATTAGCAGTAAAAGCCAAACCCCTTATCAAAAAGGGTGTCAAAAATTTGATACTTGGCGGACTTTGAACAGAAATGAAGTGATTCATTTTAGAATTTAAAGCATAAAAGATTTAGATTCCTTCTGCTTAAAAGCTAAATCTTATCATTGAAACTTATAAATTGCATTATCGTAATTTCATTATCTAATCGCCTCCTGTTTTTGCCTATCTGATAAGATTTAATTGATTTAATTGAAGAAAAGATCTAACTTGTACTACTTTTCTAACCTTTTATACGTCGGAGCCATCAAACTATGTACTAATTACTTAATTACTTAATTACAAATATTTTTAATTATTATTATAAATAAAGTAAAAACTTTAATTTGTATAGCAACTAGCATCTCAAATATAAAATATTTAGTTAATTTAAAAACAAAGAAATTTTAATGTACCATTGAATAAGACCCGTGGTATACTTATATTACTTTTAATATACGGTTCTTCACACAGTACAGTATCCACGGGAACTATTCAATTTTAACATCCTCATGCAAGTTACTTTATTCAATATATATATTTGATTGTATTTTTGTCTCATAGTGTTTATCTCAGTGTTTATAACGTTTGTTTGTCTCATTGTGTAACACCGCCTTGCATTATATAATAGATAAGATAAAAAAAAGAAAGGTATGTAGTGAAAAATGTTTTGCTTCCTGTGAGGTTCGAACTCACGACCTTCAGATTATGAGACTGACGCGCTACCGACTGCGCTAAGGAAGCAACTCATAGAAGTAAGTGAAAAATTTTTTATTTATTAGAATATTTAACTAAAAACTAAACATATTTACGTCATATATATTATTGCAAGAAAATTTATTTAGTTTAAATAGTGTTTCCTTATACACGAACGCTAATTTATCGACTTATAACATACGTTGAATTAATTAACCCTGTTTAAGATTAGGGTAAAATTAGCTTTAGGTTGAAAATATTTACAGTAAGAACCGCAAAATTATTTTTTTTAATCAGGATTTGAGATATCAATATACCCGTATACATACATATTGTGTACAAATAGAAATTGCTTTCTATAATTATCTGTATTATAAAATTTTGCAAATACAAATTTAAATTAAGAGAATTACTATTTGTACACTAGTGTATACACACAGGCAGGGTTGGCAATGGAGCCAATGGAGTTAAATGGTTACGTAAATGGAGCTCAAGAAACTAGTATCCATTGGCTCTATTTAGAGCTCCATTGGCCCATTCGTAGCTTCATTGCCAACCTTGCACACAGGGTATTGTATTACTCGAAATTTTGCGTATAAAACTACTTTGGGGTTCTAACAAAAATAATCTGCGCAAAATTTTAGTATAAAATACTCTCTAACCCTAACCCAGGGTTGGCAATGGAGCCAATTGAGTTAAATGGTTACGTGAATGGAGCTCAAAAAACCAGTATCCATTGGCTCCATTCAGAGCTCCATTGGCTCCATTCGCAGCTCCATTGAGCTCCATTGCCAACCCTGCCCTAACCCTAACCCTAGTATCAAGTAGTTTTTTTTTTTTTATTGGATATGCAAATCAATTAATTAGTACCCGTGTTTATACACTAGTGTAGGTTTCGAAATTTTCTTAAATTAAAGATTAAATAAGCTAGTTTGAGATATGGATTACCGTAAATATGCGTATACGAGATCCCCCAAAATAGTATACCACTATGAATTAGACCCGGCTGCGAACCACGGAATCTCTATTAATTAAATGCGCTTTTTTTTAAAACAACTAAACTACCTATTATAAGTACAAATTGTGTATGCATTGTAAATTTTTTGCATTTTACGAATAACCTCTCAGCGTGTACTAGACCCGGGGTCTACTTAAGGGTTTAAAAATTGGTGGAATGAAATAGACCCAGGTCTTGTATATGCACATTTACGGTATATATTAAATACTCACTGTTGTGTTTTAATAAACTTATTCAATAAATTGTATTTATCTGGCACTGTATATTTAATATGTTGTCTATGCTAATTAGATTTGCTAATAATATGTATACATACTGTAAAATATATAGCAAACACTAACATAGAAAGAATATTAGCCATCCAAATTAAATCATATATATAGTAATCAACAATATTTTATCATGTAAATCGCGAACGCGTATCTCGTGTATTAGTTGCCCGTTACGAGAGTATCGGAGTAGCATTTTATCTCGAATCTATCACGGAATATATAATAATTGATCGGACGATGTATTATCGTATGATTTGTATGTGATTTTTAGTGACGTAATGACATAGTATTAATCGTTAGTAGTATTAAAGGGAACGAGTTTTTTTCCAGATGAGATAATTCTTGTTTTTTTTTCTGCTAACCCGACTTTGTAGTTTTGCCCTACCCGACTCTGGTGTACAATTGGGCAGCCTGCATAGTATTATAGTTTGGTGGCCTGTCGTGACGACAGTCACCGCCTAATTGTTTATGGCCTGTCGGAACGACGGTCTTCGAAGTGGTTTTTTTCCAGACGGGACTTCTGTTTTTTCATCCTTCCTCTAAGGTAACTTTAGAATCGAAACTCATATTAAACAGTCAATACTCATATTAAACAGTCAATACTCAAATTCTGTACTGTTAGTAGGTATTGCACGAAAGCGGAAGGGATAGAATGCTCATAGTTGTTCGTCATTTGTAATGCCCCCTGATGAGAGACAAAAGGCCATCGAAAATCTGCGCTAGCAAATTTTTACATATCAGAGCAGATTTAAGCATAATATGAAAGATTTAAGCATAATAGTACGTTGATGAAGGATCCAGGGTTCCGCTATAAATAATTAGTGGTGAAAATCGGAGAGCTAAGATTAGTTTTTTTTTAAAGCTTAATAGTAAATTTTTTATTTAATTCGTAAAATTTATGGCATTATTTAAAAATCGCAAAAAATCGGTGGCCCTAGTCTTGTATGAAATTATATCGCGCGATTTCACATGTGTTATGTGTTAAGAATTCTTTTTAGAATATGGCCGAGTGGACAAATGTAGATAAAGGTATGGACAGTATGGCAAAAAAGAAATGCTAATAACAATTTTATTATGGCAACTTGATTTAAAGCATTAAGTAAAGGTGTTTATTACTAAATTTTACATATAATTATGTATTTTTAATAATATATGCTGACATAAAATGTATGGACGCCATGGACAAGTCAAAAAGAATCTATGGACATAATAGTAATGTGACAGAATTAATTATCATTTTCGAATAAATTAGTGACGTACTGTATGTTTCGAAAATAAGTGATATATATTTTTTTTATATAATATAAGGCCATGCAAAATTAATTAATTGGTTTTCATAACCCGGCTTCAAAAAAAATTTTTTTATATGGTTTACAGCTGTTCTCATAAATTCTGGGACAACAGAAAAATTTTCTGATACCGGATCGATAAGTTACCGAGTCGAAATAAATAAATGACCAACTTCAACCGAACTAAGAAATTTATCGATTCGGTCATTGGCATTTTTTTCAATTGTTCCAGAATTTATGAGAACAGCTGTAATAACCGGGTAGGTTTTAAAAAAAAATTTCATATAAATTTTATAAAATTTTATATATGAAATTTAAAAAAAAAGGCCGGCCGGCCGGGTCTATTTAAAAGTTTCATGTTATGAAAACCAAGTAATTAAATTTGTATGGCCTAATATAGTACAAAAAAATATTCCTATTTCATTTTCTGATTTCGGATTTTAAAACTGAAATAGATTATTTAAACTCCCACTTATTTTCGAAGCGAATTTTGAATCACCCCATTATGTAGATTTTATGAACAAAATTTAAATTTGCTAGCCTACAAATGATCAGATTCAGAGTTTATTTGAATTGAATTATTGGATGACTAGCAAATTTAAATTTTGTTTATAAGATCTACGTAGTTCCGGGCCATTTTCCTAGCAAATATTCCATATATTAAAAAATTTTCATTAGTTGAATGGTTTATTTCGCAAAAAATATGATATCACTTCACATAAGCCGCGCCAAATCGTGAGCGCGATAGTTTCGTCATCTCGTGCGAGGTACATCTTTGGGTGTTCTGTACTGTACAAGTGACTATTGGAATTTAAGTTAGATTTTTCATAATCGGTTTCGAGTCAGTAATTCGACACGGATCTATGGATCTAGGTCAGACGGTTTTTCTGTCGATTTTTAAAATCTCGAACAGTGTTGTTCGATTAATTTCTAGATTTATTATCTTTAGTAATTGATTAGGTATCCGAATTTTTTGTTGTTTTAACTAACTACTGTACATAAAATACAAAAACTACAATAATAATAATATACAAACCACTTTGGCAAGAGATACAGGATTGGATTTTTAATCAACTATTTTAGCAAAGAAATGGTATAAGACAAATATCTATATTCAAATATGTCTTTAAATATAAAGAAATGGTCATGGTGATAAAGAATAAGATGGGTATAATAAGAAATAAACAAATTGTATTGTTGTGAGAGCAAATGTTAAGCTCATAATTTCCGATCCCGTTATTATTTCGCATTAAAGGTTGACGTTCAGGAGCTTGACGATTTGTAGCAAGAATATTTGGGATATAGTTAAAAATACCAGATCTCATTTGATACATGGCAGTATAATGAAAAACTCTAGAAAAAATAAAAAGAAGAAAGCCAGGGAAAAGAAAGCCGTAATAATTACTAGGCAATGAATCATAGCTATTGCTAAGACATAAAAGTGCAGTAAAGAGGAATATAATAGATCTGACATTCTTATTTGTTGATTTGAGACAGACAAACAAAGAGATCAAAATAAAAAGAAAAGTAAGCATGGACCAAAATGAATCTTTTCCGTCTTTGATCTGCGCTTTAAAAATAAACGCGTGAGCATAACTCATTATAAACAACCAGATGCAGGTTCTATGGGCCCAGTTTTTTTCTGGAGAGATATTCCAGTAATACCAATTGAACCAGATAAGAAATATAGTTGTTAAAAGCATAGAAATTAATAAAATGGGCTTTACATCTTTACAAGATGTGCCAGATAAAAAACATGAAAGAATGATACTCGAATAAAATCCAAACTGAATTACAATATCATCGATTGCACGAAATATGCGGATTGCTGTGGTCCCTCTAAGGTTGCCAAGCTCGTAAAAGATCCATGCAACAAGAGCTATAACAGTTACATCATTAGGTATTGGAATTGAAAAGCCATTAAAAGCCGTGACTTGAGGAATAAATGAACCGAAAAAGTAAATGGTGCAGAGGATATATAAGCTCTGGAAAGGCATTCTTGAGGATAGCCTATGTAAACGAAATAGTATTTTACAACTTTTTATAAACTTTTTGAACAGGAGATAATTTTTAAGTTTTATTTAGTGCGATATTCGATTTTTGAAGCTGTTAAAGTTTTATTAATTTTTGACCTCAAAAATTTTTTGGGGTTATGGGGTATAGTGCGATTACTTCTGACGAGATTAGGAACACAGTAGACGCAGAGACCTCCAAATAAAGGAGTTCAAGGAACAATATGTAAGTTTTTAGGTGACCTATTTTTTTAATTACTATTTCGGTTTATCGCCTGGGAAGATCGTAATTGTTGTCTTTTTTGGAAAATATGTTATTGAGATTAACATTTTAGTAATTTTTAATGCAGTAATTTAAGTTTTTTACAACTTTATAGCAAAATAATGATGTTGGCATATTGTTTATGAATCAATTTGAAACGGAGTATGTTGAAATGAACTTACGTACATACGTATCTAAAAGACGTTCTTTTTATTGCCCCAGGCGATTCTATGATGAAGTAAAGTGCGACAATGTTGAACCTCTTTTTCCCAATATTTTTAATAGCCATTAACGTTAACGTTGGTCGTAAACCATTACGAAATTTCAGTATTTTGATTAGCAGACCGGCGTAAATAAAATGCCTTCACAACTATTGTCAAGAAATGGATTCCGAATTTCATATATATATATATAATAGCTTTGATGCTTTCCTGAATGTTTCTTTGTCAGGGCACTAGTACTTATACTAGAAATATTTTTATCACCAGTTTACCATACAGTAACAGATAAGAGTTCAGACAAGAGAAATTTAGAGAAGAGGCGGATATTCTCTTTTGACATACGGCCTTAATGAATTCGGTCACGAAAACAAGTGCTTTTAAACTTAGGACTCAATCTATTGATATGTATAAATTTAAAAATCAAAGTCTGGTTTATCTCTTAGTGACACCCATATGATGTAGTTCTGGTTATTTGCATAGCAGGAACGAAGTATATGGCTTATCGTTATTGAAAGCAAAATTTTAAAACTGATTGGATAGTGTGTGGTAAAATCTTGTGCTACAACGAAATTCCTGACTATGACTATGTCACTCAGTTACCTAATGAAAAAAACAATAAAAAAATTTTTTTAGGTTGTTACCCTACTCATCCTTAATCATCAAGTATGACGAGTACTTAGATAGTGAATATGTTGGATAGTATTGCTAATTTAGACATTTATACATTCAAGGATGAGAAATTTAAGAGTCAGAAAAGTAAAATATTACTATGAGACGGTGGAATTAACTAATAATTAAACCAATGTTGAAGTAAAAGTGATACAAAGATTTAAAAGTATGGTCGTGGCTCTGAAACTAAAAGTTGACTAAAAGAAAGAAATGGTTTAATTGAATATCGCTTTTGAAACGCGACTAATTTTGTTTCCTTTGCGCTAGTCATGGAATGCAAGAATAAAAAACAAATAGATTAATATTAAATGCTTAAATTAATTTGCTATGCACAATTAAGACCTATTCCGATAACATGAGTTTTCTACTAATGCAATTTTATAAAAAAAATTTTAATCGAGCAATATAATTAAAAGTAACTATTTAAACTCTATATCAATAGCTGCTGCATCGATATTAGGTTTTCTTAATACAGTCAACTACAAATAGATACAGTACCGACGGCAAATGCTTTATATACAATTAAAAGTAATATAACTCAGCAACAAATAATTTCAAAATGCACCTATGGTGCTGAACACCATAGATGCTATTTCTCAAAAAAACATACTAAGTAATTAGGGTCGGGGGTTCTAGTAAAAATTCAGGACCCCTAAAACCTTAGGCAACATGACAAAATTTGGACCTTTTATATGAAGTTATATAAGCCCTTATTTCATATTAAAAATGCACACTAACCCTAAATTTTTATTAAAAACAATTATATATGGTGCAAACAAATAGTTTAACAAAAAATTTTTTTAACAGATTTATTGCTTTTTATTAAAGCTATAATTTCGGTATGTTTCTATTATAATATTACAAAGCTGTTTTAGCTTAAGATTTATCTATACAGTAGAGATTTGGCGTAATCTTTTTTTTTTTCCGTTACTGTATAACGAGATGGGAGAAAAGCTCCTGAACATGATCTTTTTTTAAATCACTGAATAATGCACTTTTGGTTATCATTTAATAGTTGCCAGTACAGTATATTGCAAATATACATCGTCACAAAAAAATTTATTATAAGCGGAGATAGTAAAAAAGGTCCTGTTCAGGGACCTTTCTCCCACCCGGTATAACTAGGGTTGACAGGGTCAATTAATATTTAAGAGCTTAATCTGATTTGATAAATAGATCAAAAGTAGCAACATGTCTCGAATCGACTAAGAGTATCATAGACTCAGGGATTTATGTCAAAATCCCAAAAGTCAAAATCCTGAAATTTAATTGTCGCGTCGCGTGATTTCGGGGCTCCATTATTCAAACTCCGCTTATAATTAGTAATAATGATTACTAATTATAAGCGGGTTGAATAGTGAAACTCCGACATCACACGAAGCGACAATTAAATTTCAGGATTTTGACTTTCGACATAGTCCATATAAAATTAAAATTCTTTCGATATACTGAATTACTAATAAAACTTTCTATATAGTGAATTTTAAAAAATATTTGTTAATGGAACTGATCACTTCGCTATAACGGGAGTGACTCGTACTTCTTTTGATTTATTTGCAATTACAGGCATTATTGTAGATAGCGGCGCACTTACATAATAATTTCGATTTTAACTTTACAGTAACCCATTTACGTAGCGTTTTTAATTTGAATCAGAAAGTAGATAACGTGTTTTTTCGTCCTGCCTCTACCCAACCTTTAGACATGATTTGTCGAGACAACTCTTTAGATAGAGAAATTGCTTATTTAAATAAAGCAAATTGCCTGCCAGAACAACAGTCGATAAAATGGACAGTGATAATCAAGAGTAGGCTTTTAATTTAGCTAATAGAAATATCTTCTCGATGAGAGACAAAATAACTATACCCGGTTAGTCGGATTGATAACCAAAAGTCTTTAGTTTGGAACATGGATGGTTGTGAATTTTATTCTCACATCGAATTCTAATGTCATAAATAACAAAAATTTAAAAACAGATCACAAGCTTCTAGATATAAAATTCATAGTACTTTATTACTATAAGTGACTCATTCTGAAGTTTTAGACGAATTTTTAATTATTTTGACTCCTGGTATGGAGATAGGGTTGAATGTTTTTTGACATTCCGCATAGGAGACTCCAATGCCGAAACCGGTTGATATTGCAATAGGCCAAGACTTCCCTTTAATAAAATAAACTTTGTAAACTAATTATTGCTAAACATTGATCATAATAACCAATAAAATCTACAATACATACTTTTAAATATAAGTGCTGAAGCAACAATTCCAACACTGAGACCAATGCCCGTTTTTACCAATAAGTTTGATATACAAAAATCCCACTAATATATGATAAGCAAAATAAAATAATTAATCTTGTGAAATAAATTATTTAATTATATATAAAAAAAAAAGAATTAATTAATTTTTGCCTTTTCATTTAAAATATCTTCACTTGGTGCCTTCTTAACGCTCATGTTTGTTAAGTTAGAAAAATTAAAGATCATCAAAATAATTGATAATCGTACCGTTCAATGTTACACGATGCTCATAGAATCATATGTTGATTGACCAATCAAATCACGAGTTTCAAAAAAAAAGTTTTCCAATTTTACTATGTCTTACTTTAACAATTTTATTGATCATTGGGGTATTTATTCAGTTAACTATGGTGCCGGAAGCTTAGAGACAGTCTACATCCATATGGGATCTTTGCTAGGAAAATCACCCTTCGGGATTTTCCGATCGGGCTAATTCGGAAAGGTTTGGACCAGAATGCCAGTTCTTATTCATATATAAATCACCTTTTGCTATATTTATTCGATAGTTTATTAAATAAACTGTCGAATCAGTAAAGTAAAAAGATGTTTTACATATGAATAAGAACCGACATTCTGGTCTAAAATTTTCCGAATTAGCCCGATCGGAAAATCCCGAAGGGTGATTTTCCTATCAAAGATCCCATATGATTTATCTCCCTTTCGACACAGCAAAAGTTAACATGATTAATAATACTATTAAAAATTGATTAGATTGGATATAGAGAATAAAAATGAAATATCAACTGCTATGTCGATAGAAGGATAAATCATGTGATACTGCGTCTCGCTCGGCAATCACGGGAACGTTTCAATTTTCTCGTGATATGTATTTCGACATACTGCGGCAAAAAACAGAATCTTACTAACTACAGTATAGCCAGTGGTGATCATCACCAGGGTGCTTATATCCAAAACTCTAAGTAAAAATGTAAAAACTGAAATCAGGACCCTATATCTGATATTATATATAAAAAAACAATTATTATAAACACACCTATGGTGTTTACACCTATTTTATATTTTTCTAAGTTTTTATAAGTTTTGTATAAAATTTTTCAATTATTATAAAACGCACCTATGGTGTTCTAGCACCATATATAATCGTTTTTAATAAAATTTAGGGGTAGGGTTCGGGTATTAAGAATTATATTTTTTTTATATGATATATTATAGAGCTAATATAAGGTCCCGATCTCAGTTTTCGTGAGGTTCTTGGAGTCCTGAACATTTTTACTTAGAGTACCCGATCCCGTTTACTTAGTACATTTTTGAGAAATAAGGGCCTATGGTGTAAAACACCTTAGTAAAATCCAATAGCGTTAGGGTTTGCGAAGGGTTTTTTAGAGCATAGAACATTTTTACTTAGAATACTGTACTTCATGCCGACTAATTAGACAGTTTTTGAGAAAACATATACATAGATGTAAAACACCATAGATGCATTTTTAGTAAACTCCAAAAAAACTCTTATAACTGCACCCTAACCCTAAATATATCTAGGGTGGTGATAATCACCACTGGTTATTTGTATTACATTTCTTTTTAAAATGCTAAAACTTTTTACAGATAATTTTTTTTAAAAAAACTAATCGATCACTTTACATATAGGACTGAGCTATACAAAGTTAACGGTCAGTTTTTTTAAAAAAAATTTTCTATAAAGAGTATTACCGATTTGAAACTTGGCTATTTTTTGAAATGCTATTATAATTTTCCATATCAAATACATGAATTTTATTGGTCAACCACTATCACAAGAAAGTTGATTTCTGGCATCATATGTAATGTGGTACTATCGCTACACGAAAAAATTGTTAAGGACTTTTTTTGAATTAATGATCAGGTAGTATCAGAATTATTTTAAAGAATGACTTGCATGTTTTTAAATGTCTAGAATCGCTAATTATTTTAGCTTAAATTTTTATTCTTAAACACGTTTATAACACAATTACGGTAAAAAATTAAACCTTTTACCAGCAACGAAAATATCACCCTTTTGAATAGTTCGCAATGCGAAACTGTTTTTAAATATTCACGTTAAAAAATTTCACGTAACTTTGTTATAAATATGTTTAAGATTAATTCATGCTAAAAACAATTGAAAAAAGTAAAGCGATTCAATCTAGACATCTAAAAACATGTAAGTCATTCTTTTACTATATATTAAAAAAGTGATAAATAATTCTAATTGATCTCTAAATTCAAAAAAATTCTTAATAATTAATTTTCATATAGTTTGATTTACATCAGTGTCGATACAGGCAAGATAGATAATATTCTTAAAGCAGAGACTGGACTCGTCTCAACTCGTGATTCACGAATTAAGCTCAGAAGAGTACCCAAATCATTTGATTGAGTCAATTCGAATCAAATTACAGTTTATGAAAGCAGATACTCAGTCTCTCCCTTATGGTAGTGGTCATACCTGATTAACTTTTTACCCGAACGGTTATATATAACCTTTGATAAAATCTAAAAATCGGTTTTATACCCTATCGAAGTAAGAGGGTAATGGATATAAGCTCTATAAAAATGCGTTGTCATGTAATTTTTTTATACCGATTACCTGTAATTTTTATTTATTGATTTATTAAATTATAAAAACTATATATAAATTTCTATAAAGCATTTTTGCTTTTTGCATTATTTTATATGACTACATTATTAATATCTAATTCGGGGCATTTGCTCAGGCCTTATAAAGAGAATTTCAAATCACAGTGTAATTATTCACTGACAATTATTTCACCGACAGTTTATTTAGTTCAAGCGAACTCCTAACATATGATATCAGCCAAATAGGCTACCGGTGGAATGATTGCTGGTGAAGCAAGAAATTTTCACATTTATTTAGCATAATAGGCAAATGCAATTATATCTAGGGATTCGATCCTATCTTTGACAGGCCATCCGGATTCTATTAAATCCGGATTGAATCCGTGTCAGATTAGATATAAAGCTAGCTTTGAGAACACCCTTATGTCCGTTATTTAAGTTCTTTGACAAATCCGAATAAAAATCTCTGATCTGGATATTTAAATTTATCTATATTTAAGGATCAATTCAGATGGTCGGATTACGGATCGATTCACTAATTACATCACGAAGTATAACCAAGTACGTACTTGTGAAGTAGTTTTCCATTAGACGAAACCAAAATTATATCACTGATCAGGGTGGCTAAAAATTTCATGTAGCCATCGAATGCGCCGCTACTAATTGAATTTTTTTTTTAAAAAAAATAATTCTTTTCACTATTTAACACTAACGTTTTGTTCTTTTGAATTTAGTTTTTTTTAGTAAAATTTTTAATTGAAATAAACATAGCTACTTTAATCCATACTGTATACAAATCCGAAAACAAATAAGTATTAATTTTTTTTTGTATGAAAATTGACTAATTATTTAGCAACTTAGCAACAGTAACATTTATTTTCAGCATTTCCTGATTAGCAAACTAGCACTTATTGTACTATTTCAGAAAGCTACTATATTTCCCAAAAAAGTATAATACCATCGGGAAAATTTTTAGTACTATTCTGCGCAGATTTGCGAAAAAATTAAATAAATTAAATGAAAATCTTCAGCTATAGACAGAAATTAAATACAGTTTTGTGCAAATTTTCAAAATAAAAAAATTTTGCAGTTTTGCACTTATTTAATTTTCCCGATGACTGAATAATTATTTTCTTTCAAGGAATGGATTTTGAGAACTTGAATTACATTATTGTATTAGTATTAAAACAAATATATTAATTGGCAATTTCAGAAACACTTTATTTATTTGCAGAATTGTATCAATAATATTAATAAAAATGAACTTGAATCATTTCAAATGTTCGTGCCAACTATTTTTCAAACAAAAGAAAAATTGCGGCCCAGAATATAGTTAAGGAATTTTGAAACTGAGCTAGGTATATTTTAAAATTACAAGCTTGTAAACGTAGGTCTTAGCAAAATTTTATTTTCAGGAGAATAAAGTACCGAACAAAAACTACATAAAAATTTTCTTTTATATCAGAAGCACTTATTTACGTTAATGTTTTAGATTATTTCAATTTTTATTTTATTAACAGTTAAAGAAAATGTTTTGATTTTGCGGCTATGCTAAGGTGGCGTGATCTAGTTTATCCAATTAAAGATGGCATTATGCAAGCTTTTGGTCCCACGAAATCCTTTTTAGCCATAATGCGTAGCATTCCAACAGTACGTACGCGATTATATCCTAATGATTGGTAATAAATGTGACCTGTATCATTCATAATACATTAATACAGCGTCTTAACGACTATATCCCTTTTGTCGAGGGACACCGTAACTTTTGTATCTTGAGGGCTTGATAACTCCGCTCTTAAAGTGGTTGTGGTTGCGCTTTTCCTACGCCAACAGACCCGGTCCCAAGGTTTATGGACTTACGACTCTGAGAGGTGTATCGATGACGAGGGACACCGTAATTTTTGAATCTTGAGGGCGTTTGCTTGTTTGATAACCTCCACTCTTGAAGTGGTTGTGGTTGCAGTGTCTTTCACACTTTCCCTATGCCAACAGACCCGGTGCAGACCAGTGTTTGAAATCTAAATTGACGTTCTCAAGAATCATTTTGTTAAACAAAAATGGTTTCAATTCTGGGATAATGTTCTTCTGAGAACATGAGAACGTAAGATTTACAACACTGGTGCAGACCCATTCCAAGGTTTACGGACTTGCGACTCCGGGCACGTGCCTGTGCCCAAAAAATTTAGGCTCAGACATACTTAGAAACTTAGGCATGGGCACACACAAAAGCTTGGCGTGGGTACAGGTACAGAAATTTGATATTTATTATTTAATTGTGCCTGGCACCACTCTGACATCTTGTGCCCATGCCTTTACTAGTTCCTGGCACTTTTGTGCCCATACCTTTAATGTGCCTGGTATTTTATGCCCTATAGGCATAGGCATGGCGTAAGGCACTAGTGCCCGGCCTCGTAGGCAGACTTTCGAATGATTGGCTGTTTAAATTAATTTAATTTTACATTATTTATACAGTTTAAAGTACTTTTTAAAAATAATAAAACTACGAAGAATCAACAAAAAGAAGTATATAGAAAGTTTTATTAGGATTGTAGGACTCTACTATTAAAAATAATCCAAATTCTTTTTTGTTTTAGAGAAGTTAGCATAATAGCGACTTCTTAAATTAGGTTATCACCATGCTAACTTCTCTAAAATAAAAATGAATTTGGATTATTTTTAATAGTGGAGTCCTACAATCCTAATAAAACTTTCTATATACTTCTTTTTTGTTGATTCTTCGTAGGTTTATTTTTTTTTGAAAAGTACTTTAAACTGTATAAATAATGTAAAATTAAATTGATTTAAACAGCCAATCATTCGAAAGTCTGCCTATGATGCCCGGCCTGGTGCAGGCACGGCATTTGAGAACCCTACTGATCATATACCTATACCATACTGATCTGGTCGTAACTCCTCTTATTGGGGTGTATCATATAGGCATATTTATAAACATACATAGTGAAAATTAATAAATCAGCAATAGTGTAATAGTAAAATAATAGTAAAACATATAAAATTCAAACTGCAATAATTCTTGAACCAGCAAGTCCATACAAATAAAATTACATTTGTCGGATTCATTTTAGCATGCTCATTAAAGTAACAAAGCCCTTTTTTATTTATTTTTATTGTTTAGAGCATAGCGGGTGTCTCAATCTTCATGCAAAGTTGTCGTCTTTGTTGTTTTTTTTAATAATAAAAACACCAAAAACATAACTTTGAATTTTTTGTCAATCGTATTATATGATTCAATGGTGATCGACAAGAATTCAAAGTTACGTTTTTGATTTTTTATTAAAGAAACATCTAAGACGACAATTTGCATGGAAATTGGGACACACGCTATGTTCTAAACAATAAAAATAAATAAAAAAGGGCGTTGTTACTTTAAGAATATGCTAAAATGAATCCGACAAATGTAATTTTACTTGTGTGGACTTGCTGGTTCAAGAGTTATTGCAGTTTGTTTTTACTATTACACGTCACTCTGGTTATACCCGACGACGTTAGTAAAATCGCGGTTTTCGAAAAGGTAGAAATGAGTAAAAAAAATTTTTTTCTGTATACGAGTATACGAGTATACTGCGTATACTCGTATGCTGGATTACCTTTAGCATATTTATTGAAGATCGATGTTTGATTTACTTATCTGTGATTGTATAAGTACGTACGTAATGTATGCAAGTAATCAAACATCCAACGTGTTATTCACTTAATGTGCAGTTACTGCGTATTAAATTAAAGATATTTAAGTTTAAGTTTCTGTATAGTAATCAATGTTTATTATCACGTGATATGGTATGTATGCCCTTTGGCCCAAAGACATGCCCTGGGACACCGCGCCCAGCCCTACAGCATATAGCTATTTATAAACATATATCCGCGAATATTTAGAATTACTATTTTAAAATTTCAAAATCTTTAACCATAAATCACTTTTGATTTACTGATCGTTTTGGATGATTTTACCATTAAAATGGCCGTCTCAACGAGACGATTCTAACGAGCCCAAAATCGTTAAAATCCCGTCACTTCGGGTGTTTTGGGAATGGTTTAATCCTAAAACACTGAAGTAACATAAATCCTTAACGATCTCGGGATTCCATGATTGGATTTTAACGATTTTGGGCTCGTTAGAATCGTCTCATTAAGTCGGTCATTTTGATGGTAAAATCATCCAAAACGGGCCAGTGAATCAAAAGTCATTTTTGGTTAAATATTTTGAAATTTTTAAATAGTAATTCTAAATAGGATATCTAAATATACGGTAATTTATTTAATCTATTTGTCCATTGGTTCATTGGAGTATGGAACCAATGGACCCAACCCTGACCGCAGCATATAGATTTTATCGCAGTACAGTGCATTGGTACGACATGCCATATGGCATGCCAAAATTATTATTGACAGCCTTAACAAAAGTTCATAGACAAAAAAACATTACACCAAAAGCAAGTTGATTACTGGAATGTTTACTATAAAAATAAAATATGCTAAAGCCTTTATAGTACTATGTTACACGAATAACGATTTATATTTTTTAGCACACTGCGACTTATCATTATCGTTATGTTCATTAACTGTCTACTATCCAGAATTTCCCGGAAATAGCTAATCAGCATTTGGTAAATTACGTTCGAAAAATTTCTGTGTCACTGCTTGTCAGTAGGACGGTATCACAAGTTAAAAATTCTTTGAGTTCTAATGTATATATTTTTCAAATTTTCAAGTTTGTTTTTAATTGAATTTTGTTAACGTTAAAAACTTTAACGTTCCTGCGATTTCGGACGTTGGATTTCTGGATCTTGCGATAGTAAAACCGACCAGATTTTTACCAATTAAATAATCCGGATTCAAAAATCCGATTCAAATTCCAGTCGAGTAACGTTACAACTAAATTTTCCGAAAGGAAAACAATAATCAATTCCTGTCAATCTTAGTAGTCAAACCGATTTCATGAACCGGGAGTCTATTGTTTCCGATAATGCATAAATATAACGAGCTTTCGTTTTCTACCTAAAAGTATTCACGTCTTTAGTTCAGTTTATGTTACTAGCTTACATTTAATATTACTATTTCTTTACTCTCATTAGTATGGACAATTCTTCAATATTTGAGAGTATTTGTGGTTCCGATCGCTGGGTAGTAAAACCTTCTATTTGACAAAAGCTCAATATGTTCTTAAAAATCTTATCTTCTTGTTTGTTGCACTATATATGCATTTAGGGGCCGTGGGAAAGTTATGATTTTACGGATTGCTTTAGAGAAGTGTAAATTTATCATAATTTCTTTTATCTCCTTTATCTTCTATATCTGACTTTTATTCGACAAAAATTAGTGTGGTCGACGCTGGAATCTTATTACTGTATTCAGCTACTTCATTATGTATTGTCGTAACTGCTTATGTTCAACTTAGACGACATAAAGGGCCAGGCTATGAACGCTTACTTAATAATCAGTGTAATTCAAATTATGGCACTATTGAACAGATCGATGACAATGAGACAGATTTAGATGTTTCCGATGATAATTCAGACTATTCAGATGAAACTCTTGTCAGCGATCGGACTCCTAAAAATATGATTTTTGATGTTAGCCGGCTTGTTATAAGTATTATAATATGTTTGCTATTCAGTTTACTTGCTACAGCAAGATGGCAAGGTTATAATGAGAACCAACACGGAAATTATTGGCTTGTGGCTCCTATATTAGAAGCCATCGCATGGGTTCGTGCTATTGTTTAAATTGTTTAAATTGTGTTTTGAATTACCATCTATTATTAATAATAATTTAATGTTCATTATTCTAGATCTATGCAACAATATTAGCATTGTTTAACATTGTTTCACAACAACGTAGCATTCTTCATATCCGTGGACACTTAAACGTGTTATATTTTCTTGCCTTCGTTTCTTCTATAGCAGATGTTCATTCGCTTTATCTAAAGCTTGGTACAGATTTCGATTTAAAATATTATCTCAATTTATGGATTTTTGGTTTTTCGTTCATCTTGGTTTGCATTTCGTTTTTGGAACCACAAGATGATGTTGAGTTACTTTCAAAACCAAATGCTGAGGTATAAAATTTTTTTTTAATACTCTATTTGTTTAATTTCAAATGTCTATTTTAACCGAACAAATTAATATCCATTAGGGTCGATACTTGTCCCCTGAAGTAAAATGTTCATTTTACGATCAAGTCACATTTTCATGGATCAATCCGTTAATCAGCAAAGGCTTTCGATCAACTATTGATGACAAAGATGTCTATGAGCTACCTGGTTTTGCTAAAGCTAAAAATATATTGAAAACTTTTCATACTTTTAGAAAATCCACTATCGTCAAGTCTTTAATGTTTACGTTTCGAAAGGAGCTTCTTATTCAGTTTATCTATGCAATATTCTGGTCTCTGATTTATTCTTTTGTTCCGCCTTATTATCTCCAAAAACTGTTATTATATGTTCAAAACTATCCAAATCATAAAGACGAGTCATATTTGACAGCTTATTCATATGCTTTTGCATTATTTTTGGGAACTGTGATACCAAGTATATGCTTCCAACAAGCATTATATATTGGTCGCCATCTGAGCGTAAAGTGTCAGGTGCGTTTTGTTTACTTAAAAATATTGAGCTGTATACTGGCAAAATGCATTAAAGTTTTTCTGCCACCAACAATTTTGCCTTTGATTATTCTAGGCAATAATCATCGGTGAAGTATATTCGAAGTCTTTATCCCGAAAAGACACATCGGGTGTTGTTGATGATGATGAATCAAAAAATAAAACGGGAAAGATTACTAATCTCATGGCTGTTGACGCTCAAAAAGTTTCGGAATTTTCGGCATACGTTTTTTATTGTAAGTTTAATAAGCCGATCCTACCCTGGTTTACAATGTAAGATGATTCTAACATTTTGTATCTTTAGTTTATGCCTATCCTATACAAGCTATCATTTCTATATGGTTGTTATATGCTTTGCTTGGTGTATCAGCTCTAGCAGGCGTATTGGCTATAATTTTAACATATCCAATACCAGCTCTTATTAATCAGGTATATTGTCATTTAATAATCTTAATTTATTTTATTTATTAATTAAACAATGACTTGTAAATCATAATTTTAGAGGTTTCAAATTATTCACAAACGTCTTATGGCCGCAACTGATAAGAGAATGGGTGTAATGAACGAGGTTATAACTTTTTCAAATTTTTTGAGCTTGATTATTTTTGCTTCATCATAAATTAAGCCATAATTACTTTAATTAACAGTTGTTACAGGCCATTCGTGTCATTAAGTTTTTTGCATGGGAAGACTACTTTCGTGACAAGGTCATAAGTGCTCGTGATAATGAGTTAAATGAACTCAAACATCGGTTAATGGAATGGGTTTATATGTGTGTTGTTTGGACGAGTTTACCTCTTATAATAATGGTTACTGTGTTCATTACATATACAAAATTACTAGGAAATGTAAGTATCATATTCATCTTGTTAATTGACTTATAAGGTCGTGTTAATAAATAAATTTTTGTTAAAAGGATTTGACTGCTTCTGTTGCATTTACCGCACTTGCACTATTTAATAATCTTCGTCATGCCCTTGATGAAATGCCACAATTGATTGCTTACATTATTCAAGGTGTGTTTAATTATTTATCTTATATTTGACTTTCCCAACCTTTAAAATTTAACAAATCTACATGAGACATTTAAATTTATACAGCTCGTATTTCAATTTCCCGTATTGAAAAGTTTTTAAAAGAACCAGAGATTAATCGCAAATGTTCTGTCCAAAATTTTAATGATCCTTATATTGGATTTAAAAATGCCACTTTCCAGTGGCCAGATGGTGGAGATTCCATAGACAATTCTTCCGTTTCAGTAGACCTAACCATGCACACTCCATTGAATAAGTTTACTTTAAAAAATCTGAATGTATCTTTTCCTGCTAATGGGCTGTCAGTAATCTGCGGACCTACGGGTAGTGGGAAAACAAGTTTGTTGATGGCATTATTGGGAGAAATGGAATGTTTAGATGGTCATGTATTCTTGCCTAGGATGACTGCCGAATCTTCAAATAAATTAGGAGGTGCGCCAAGTGGTATTGCTTATGTCGCTCAAACAGGTAATTCACTTTCTCTTATTTGCTTTACGTATTTAAGACCTCTTTTTTTATGTAAAAACATCTTTCACTGATAAATAAAAAACTTTTTAGCATGGCTACAACATGCTACTATTAGAGATAATATTCTATTTGGTCTTCCATTTGATTATGAAATTTATACAAAAGTTTTACGTGTTTGCGCTCTCGATAAAGATTTGGAGATTCTTGACTTTGGAGATAAAACAGAAGTTGGTGAAAAGGGAATAACGCTTAGTGGTGGTCAAAAACAACGTAAGTATTAGCTAGTGTATCTTTCTGAAAATTTTGAGGTTTTGTCTTATTTACGTTATTTTTGTTGACCCTATTATTAAAGGTGTCGCTTTAGCCAGAGCTGTTTATTCTCAAGCTAAAATAATCATTATAGACGATTGCTTATCCGGTAAATTTATGGTACATAATAATATTGTTCATTTTTTAGGACTTACATTTTTTTTGCTCTACACAGCTGTTGATTCACATACTGCTAAACATATATATGAACAATGTTTGATGGGCGACTTGATGAAAAATCGTACCCGTATTCTTGTTACACATCACGTAGGACTATGCCTTCGTGGTGCTGCTAAAGTGGTAGTTATTAAAGATGGTCAAATATCAGGTGAAGGAAATGTAGAAGAAATTTTGGCTACAGGGCTGTTGGACGATGTGACTATTGAAAGCGATGAAGAATCAGGAACCTCTGTTGAGGATGTCACAGATGCGAAATCTCAAAAAAACAACAAAAATATCCGTGAAGGCGATGGAAAATTGGTTGCCGAAGAAACCAGAGCTGTCGGTATGGTTGGATGGAAGTATTACAAAATCTACTTGGTAGCATCTGGCGGATTCTGGTATTGGATGTCATTGCTTCTTTTATTTTTAGTGACACAAGTTATTCAAGTTGGGCAAGGTTAATTGTTTAATTCATTTAAATTGATGTTAATATGTTAATACAGTATTACTAATTATTCCTATTATTTTTATCTAGATTGGTGGATTCGAGAATGGACTAAAGCTTACGGCGATGCTTATAATCAAATCCACCAATTTGCTTCGACAATGTATGGGGGTATCACTTCTCTTTTACTAGAAAATTTACACCAAACCATGAAGGGCTTTGCATTATCTTCTTACTTGTCTCCCTTCCTTAATCATTCGACTCCGACTGATCATTTCTCACCTGTAAACATGTGGGAAGAGACCCATGAGCCCGTCAATGTTGACTACTATCTTTGGGTTTATGTATCAATTGGATTGGCATCCACCATACTAACGACCTTTAAAGCATATTATATGTTCATTGGTTCTTTAATGGCGTCTAGGAAGTTGCATAATGATATATTAGATAAGGTGCTGTTATCAACGCTTAGATTTTATGACACAACACCAATAGGTAATATATATATATTAAGTTATATAGCTTTATGTAACTTCTGCGCACTTAATAATGCATGTTAATTTTTTGAAGGAAGGATATTGAATCGGTTCTCCAAAGATTTGGAGACAATTGACCAGAACATGTCTCCTATTGTTATGTTTCTTCTTTATTCAGTCTTTGCTACTACGTCGGTGATTATTGTCATTTCAATTGTAATGCCTCGATTCTTAATTCCTGCTGCTTTCATTGCAGCAATTTATATATTTATTGGAGCATATTACATAGCTACGTCCAGAGATTTAAAACGTAAGATAATTGATGATATATATACATTTTCGGTCACATCTTGATTACAACAGTTTATTAACCTATAATTGTCTAGGCTTGGAATCTGTTAGTAGATCTCCAATTTACGCGGCATTTGGCGAGGTAAATACTTTGCCATTATTGACTTAGGTTTTATCATTTTATCCATTACTTATATCCGTATCCTTTCATATATGAAGACTATAATAGGTGTATCTACTATCAGAGCATTTGGTGCCGAAAAAAGATTGATGAAAAGGATGTTGCGTCTCGTAGATGACAATAATCGACCGTTCATATTTAATTGGGCATGTAACCGATGGCTCCATACTCGTGTTGATGCCGCAGGTGGCCTAGTTGGGCTTTCCACTGCTGCTATTATTGTGTATAATCTTTCCAAAGGAATGGATCCTGGTTTAGCAGGTTTTGCATTGATAAATGCATTAAATTTCACTGGGCATGTAATTTGGGTCATTCGTATGTATGCCATTCAGGAGATGAACATGAATTCAAGTAAGTTCCCAATTTTGCATACTTACAGTATGTAAAAAATTTTTTTTCAAGCTCTAATTACTTGTTTCTAGTTGAGAGAATCCAGGATTATCTGGTATTGGAAGAGGAACCACCAAGAATTGTCGAAGGCCATCGTCCACCACCAGAGTGGCCCACAAAAGGAGAAATACATGTTAAAAATCTTGTTATGCAATATGCGCCTGATAACCCACCGGTGTTAAAAGATATTTCATTCCACATTAAACCCGCAGAAAAAGTTGGAATTGTCGGTAGAACTGGTAAGCTTACATATTGATTGATGTATTTAAATATTATATAATTTAAAACTTCTTTTATTGTCAATTATAAATTATTTGTATAAATATATTCGGAATTTATTTACTAAACAAGATGCCTCACATTCGTATTCTTAGGGTCTGGGAAATCCACACTTGCTACATCCTTTTTTAGGTTTATGGAACCAACCTCTGGTCAAATAATTATTGATGATATTGATATTTCAACTATTGGTCTTTTTGATTTAAGGAGTAGACTTACTATAATACCTCAAGATCCAGTGTTATTCAGTGGAACTTTGAGGTAATATTTTATTCTTTGATTTGTTTTAAGAAAACTGCCATGTACATGTATATCATAGTATTATGTTCTATTGCTTACCATTCGTTGTTATTATTTTAAAAATGAATTAGGAGTAATCTAGATATTTTTAACGAACATGATGATGATGACGCTGAATTGTGGAATGCACTTCGAAGAGCTCATCTAATCGATGATACTATTATAAGTTCAAGCACTGATAATGATAACAAATCATTACAGAATAGACAATCACAAAGTCAAGTAATGTGGACTCTCGATGCACCTGTTAGTGAGAATGGTAGTAATTATAGTCAAGGTCAACGACAGTTGATAGCACTTGCAAGAGCATTGGTGCGTAAATCTAAATTGATTATTATGGATGAGGCGACAGCTAGCGTAGATTTCAAGACAGACCGTATGATCCAAAAGACAATACGTGAGGAATTTAGTGACGCGACTCTATTGTGTATTGCACATCGGTTAAGAACCGTTGTAGATTATGACAAAATTTTAGTGTTAGGTAAGGTATCATTTGGACTTGTTTGAAGCACTCTATCAACATGTTTTATGGATTTATATTTTGTATTTGTAATAGATGCTGGAAATATTGTGGAGTTTGATCATCCATATATTCTTTTGCAAAATCCGGCTTCAGTTTTTCGTGGAATGTGCGATCGAAGTGGAGATTTGATAGAATTGGTCGAAGTTGCTAGGGCAAAATATGAAAAAGATTACGGAAATATAAGTGTTTGAAATTATTACATAGATCTAATTTTTTACCTTAGTATTAACTAACACGACTAGATATTCATTTTAGAAAAGTAATACAACCTCTAAATAGATATTTTTATAGTTTAAGCATAGCAAATTTAAAAAATTATAACTATGGGCGGCACAAGGATTATATTTAGTGCAATGGAAAATAGAATGTTTAGTATAGATGGCGGACTCCGGTTATCACATGAATTGATCATTAACCAGTAACGGAGCTGTACGCCTATACTAAAGATGTTACCTTCAGTCCTGCCCATTTATACTAAAGATCATCTTTGTACAAACCTTTTTACATTTCATGAAAAAAAATCTTTTATACAAGATTTTTTTTAAAAAAAATAAATAATACAATCAGGAAAAATAACAAATTAGAAAGGTTTTTAAACTAGAATTTGATATATGATCTATTTTTAGATATATATATATACAGTATATATAATTAAATTTACAGTATATATGTCATACGTCAGATTCGAAGAGGTGTGAATTTAAAATCGAGTTGTGTAAGATCAAAATTTGAATCTGAGATGCGTCAGACCAGTTTATGATTTATGCGTCTGATTGAAATGCGCATAATAAATGTAGTAATAATGATAAAATAAATACATAAAATAATAAAAATTTTTTTCGTTGAACTAGTTAATAGATCTTTTTCGCTCTTTATATTAATATACTGTTGTGTATTTTATGTCAAACCAAAGAGCATGGAATATTCATTTATGTCACAGCAAACTTTTGATGACTTGGTTAGCGGGTATATTGAAAATTTGGCACCAAGTAAAAAAGAAAAGGCATTAATCGATCAAGAAAAACTACTAAGAATTAAAGAAGTTCTTCTTAATCCTATGGATACTACTCAATATATGGCTGCTTTTCATTATTGGGTTAAAAAAAATTTTAAATTACAAAAATTGCTGATTCCTATATTGTACTTCACATTCGAATACAAAATAAAAAAAATAATGAGAAGGTTAAAATTGAGCTTCCTGTGTTAGCTGTAGAAAACATGTATGATGAATTTTGCAAGATACATGGAACAATTACTCAGCACAGTGGCCAAAAGGAAACATGGAACCAAATCAGTAGCAAATGGGGATATTGTTGGCAAGATCTTGTAAAAAAATTTGTAACCCAATGTACTGTTTGTGCAACAAGACGTACTCGGATTCAACCATTAGCTGGGATACCAAGTAATTCATTAATATTATATTTTGTAATTTTGTATTTATTATTATATTATTGTAATAATTTTTTATTTTAAACAGATTGACTTAGTTGATATGACTTTCAAACATGATAATGAATTTAAATATATTGCTCATTTATATGATTATTTTACAAGATACTCCTGGGCCCGTGCACTTACCTCCAAGCGAGCAGTAGAGGTAGTGGCCTTTTATTTGAAATTTTTACTACATTTGGACCACCTCTAATTCTTCAATCAGATAATGGAAAAGAGTTTGTTGCTTCAGTGATTGTTAAATTAGTTCATTTATGGTCTACAATTCAGATTATTAATGGGAGGCCAAGGCATCCTGCTAGTCAAGGTTTAGTTAAACAGGCAAATAGAATTCTAGAGATAAAGTTGGGAAAGTGGATGGAAGATAATAATCATCAAGATTGGTTATTTGGATTAAAATTTGCAATTTATGCTATGAATAACTTAATTTGTAGAGCACATAATAAGAAACCTTACGAGCTTGTATTTGGTGGAACTCCACATGGTCATTCCACTGCACTTGACCATTTGTTTGAAACTAGTATTTTTTCTGAAGATGAAATTTTAAACGAATTTGAATTAGGAAATATTCAAGAATCAGTTAATGATTTAGATGATTTAATCGATGATACCAGTTCAGCAACTGAATATTCAAGTTTAAATCAAGTTTTAAACATAGAAATACAAAGCAACTTAGTTAATGATAATCGCGAAAGCCAAGATACAGTAAGTTTATATTAATAATTTTATTAATATGCATATTTATTTAATACATATACGTATTATATTAATTATATTAATTAAATTGTGTTAGGCATTACAAGATTTAACAAATCAGCCATTAACAGGGCATCAAGTTTTAAGAAATTTCGATTGTGAGAATTTAGAGATTTATACAACAAAGATGACATCTGCAATGGTTGCCAAATCGAAGCATAAATTAGAATATTAAATTGGGGAATATGTAAAAATTTCAGTTTCCAAAATAGATAGATTTGGTACAGATTGGCTTATTGTTCCATGCAAAATTTTAAATAAGTTAGATTATAATAATACATTTAAATACCGTCTTGGATGCCAAAATGGCATATTGAATAATTTATATTGTGCAGGAGAAATAGAGCCATTAGATGTGAATAAATTTCCAGAATTAGAAAACATCCCAATAGATAAAATATCTGTTAGAGAAGCAGGATGTAACCAGAATACTGGAATACTTACAGGAACAATGTGCAAGTGTAAAGGTAGTTGTAATACCAATAAATGCCGTTGCAAAAAAGCTGGTGTTAGATATGGAAGCAAATGCCACAGTGAAAAAACGTGTGATAACAAAACTCAACTTTAATATGTATTAAATTAATTATTTGCTATTTTTTACTTTGTATATAAACTTTCTATTTTCTGCTTTATATGTAATTTATAATTTTAATTTGACGCAAATCAGAAATTTGAATCTTACATATCTCAAAATTAAATTTCAATCTGACGCAATTCAGTTTTAAATCGATGCATATTCTAATTTCACGCACAATATATATAATATTTCGAATATTTCAATATAAAATAAATTAAACCATTGTAAAAAAAAGCAAATAAGTGTAATTTTTGATAATAAATAACATTCAGCAAGTTATTCTGATTATAATAGTAGTTAAATCATCAAAATTGGTTTAATATTTGTCGAGATAGCTTAATTAAAAATATTTCGATGTAAAATAAATCAAACCATTGTAAAAAAAAGTGAATAGATGCGAAATTTATCTAAAAAAAATTTGTAATAAATAATATCCAGTATGTTATTTCAGTCATAATGGTAGTTAAATCATCAAAATTGGTTTAATATTCACCAAGATAGTCTAATTTAAATTTACAGTGGCCTATTATATTATTGTGGACACTTTTTAAAATTTTGTATAAAGTTAAATATATAAGATAAAAATCTAAAAATTAAAATATAAAGTTTTTAAATCTATATCTTTTAAATAAAAAAAAGATTA